ACGACGACAAACGGTACGTCGTACCGGACTCGACGAACACGCTACCGTGGGGGCATTACCGGATAGCGTAGCTCGTGTGTTAGTTTACCTGTACTTAGACTTTTACGTATTTTATACGTTTACTTTTCATACTGAGTTTATACCTATACTCGTACCTATACTTGTACGTATACTCATACCTATACTCGTACCTATACTCGTACCTATACTTTTATGTATTGAGTTTTACGTATTAAGTTTTATGTATCTTTTACTTTTATACTGAGTTTATACTTATACTCATACCTATACCTAGACGTATTTTATACTTTTACTTTTATATTGCGTTTTCTCGTACCTATACCTGTACGTATTGAGTTTTATGTATTTTATACGTTTACTTTTTATACTGAGTTTATACCTATACTCGTACTTAGACGTAGTGAGTTTATACTTGTACTTATACTCATACTTATACTTAGACTATTATGTATCGAGTTTTACGTATTGAGTTTTATGTATTGTATACGTTTACTTTTTTATACTGAGTTTATACTTATACTCGTACCTAGACGTATTGAGTTTTACATATTAAGTTTTTATGTATTGAGTTTTATATTGAGTTTATACTTATACGTGTACCTAGACTTGTACCTATACCTGTATGTATTGAGTTTTATACTGAGTTTTATACTGAGTTTTATACTGAGTTTTATGTATTGAGTGTTATGTATTGAGTTTTGTGTGTGTTGAGTTTTACGTATCGAGTTTTACGTATTGGGTTGTACGTATTGAGTTTTATACTGAGTTTGTACTCCGCAGTCATTCGCATGTATGTAATACTGTAACGTTACAAAGAGTTTGTCGTTCGTCAACTTATTGAAAGGAATAAAGAACGACAACGATATCGTGATATACTGGTATATTTATTTTTGAAATATACATATTTTGATATATATGTTATACGAATAAAAATTAATATTATAATTCATACGACATCTCGTTTATTTATCCACGAATTGTGCGATCCGTCGAATCCCAGCCACTTGACGTACACCTTGTCTCCCTTCTTGCGCAACACCTTTTCAACCAGATACACGTCGGGATTAGCGACGCGAAGCAACTCGTGCTCGTAGAATCCTCCGGCTACCGGTTCGCCGCGGTAATCCTCCAAGAGATACGTCACGGGATTAGTCCTCTGCACTCTGACGATTCGAAACACCTCCGTGGTCCAATTCGGCGTGTAACCCTTCTCGAAGATCGTCTTGTACTTGCTCACGCGTACCGCGTCGCCCACTTTAAATTTCGCGGGACCGGCGATCTTTATCGCGCCGTACACCGTGCCCAGGAGTCTCTCGGCGACAGCGGGGGTCAGGTCGGCGGGCCGCATGCCGATGGTGCGATGCTTGCGCGCGTTGTAATCCGACACGAGACGCGGCAACGCGTCGACCCACTTGTACGTGCCGTTGAGCGTAAACATCTTCCACATGTCGTTCTT